GGTTATACTCAAATTGAAGGAATTGATTATCATGATACCTTCGCACCTGTGGCAAAACTAGTTACTGTACGTCTCCTACTCTCAATTGCTGCCATTAAAAGTTGGTCCATCCACCAACTTGATGTTAACAATGCATTTCTTCAAGGAGATCTTAATGAAGAGGTCTATATGAAACTTCCCCCTGGCTTCTCTCACAAAGGGGAGACTCGTGTATGTAAATTAAATAAATCAATATATGGTCTTAAACAAGCATCTCGTCAATGGTTCTCCAAATTCTCAACCACTCTTATTAGTCGAGGTTTTCATCAATCAATTTCAGACTACAGTCTTTTTACATATATTCGTAATAAGACATCCATTTTTATACTCGTCTACGTTGATGATATTATCATTACAGGAAATAATGATGATGCTATTTCCGATATCAAAAAATTTCTTGCCAATTCTTTTTCCATAAAAGATCTTGGTAATCTTCGATATTTTTTGGGTATTGAAGTATCTCGTTCTAAACAAGGCATTTTTTATGTCAACGCAAGTATACTCTAGACATCTTATCTGATTCCGGGATGACTGGTTCTCGTCCGTCTGATTTTCCAATGGAACCACATCTTCGTTTACGTCCACATGATGGGACTCCTCTTCCCGATCCATCAATCTATCGACGTCTCATAGGGCGCCTGCTGTATCTCACTGTAACACGACCGGACATTCAATATGCGGTAAATACTCTTAGTCAATTCATGCAAAATCCGCATTCTACTCATCTTGATGCTGCCAATCGAATCCTTCGTTATCTTAAAGGTACTGTTGGTAAAGGTTTATTCCTTTCTGCATCTAGTTCTCTCACTCTAGTAGGATATGCTGACTCTGATTGGGCTGGTTGTCCTACCACTCGTCGGTCTACCACTGGTTATTTCACCATGTTGGGTTCTAGTCCTATTTCTTGGAAAACTAAGAAACAACCAACCGTTTCTCGTTCTTCTGCCGAAGCCGAATATCGTTCTCTCGCTGCACTTACGTGTGAGTTACAGTGGTTAAAATATGTTCTAACGGATCTCGGTTTCAACCACTCTCAACCAATTCCAATTCATTGTGATAGCCAAGCTGCTATACACATTGCAGAAAATCATGTCTTTCATGAACGCACCAAGCACATTGAGATTGATTGTCATTCGGTTCGAGAAAAAATTCAGGCAGGTCTCATTGCTCCCTCATACCTACGTTCAAGTGATCAACTGGCAGATATTTTTACGAAACCACTTGGCGGTGAAGCTTATCGGCGATTAGTTCGCAAGTTGGGTGTTTTTGATATATCAATACCACTTCCAACTTGACGGGGGGTGTTAGAATAATATAATATAAATTCATTTTGATTTAGTTTAGCCTTAATTAGGTGATTTGATTAGATTCAATCAAGTCTTAATTAGTGATTTGATTAGTGATTTGATTAGATTCAATCAAGTCTTAATTAGTGATTTGATTAGGGATTTGATTAGGTGTAATTAGTTTCTTCCTTTATTATTTCTCTCTTGTGTGTATATAAATGTACAAGCTCTCATTGATGAAATACAAGACACAATTCATCTTTTTCATTATGTGTTTCATCTTTTCTACAACGTCGCTTGTTCAAATTCATAGATTATAATATTTTACATAATGCAGAATTCAAACCACAAATCTGATTACAGTTTTTCAACATAAAAACAAACAACAGGGTGTTGTAAAACTCAAATCGGATATTAAGACGACTAGTTATTTAAAAGCAAGCCTCTCTATCAGTCAACTTTCTTGAAAACTTGTCTGTTCTGGCCGGAAGGCAACCACCACCGCCACCGCCGCTCTTCAAATCACTATTGCTAAAAGCAATCGACTTTTTAATAAACTGAAACTCATCCATGGACTGCTGTCTTTGAGCATTTTGCTTCCTCTGTTTCGCCTTAGTAGCTTCGGTCATGTTCATGTAATTAGGCCTATTACAGCTCTGGTTACTGTTGTTGTTGCTCTCTTCTGTTTTATCCGAAAAAAAGGGAGTGAAAATCGATGAAGAAGCAGAGCTTTCGTCGTATCTGAAGTAATCAGAACTCGGACTCGAAGAAGAGTGAGTAGGTTGTGGTGGCTTTGCTGATATCCTAGTTGAGACATTGTTTTTCCGCACCTTAACCGAACTAGGTTCGGACAACCTAGGAAATTTCTCCTTTGAGGGCTTAGATGGCGGTGGAATAGTCGTTGTGTCCAATATATGATCGGTATTATTATTATTATTGTTTTGGATTTGTTGTTCCATTAATCTGTTTTCCCAAGGCTTAGCCACCATCCACCGTTCAAGCCAGCTCCATCCATTGTTGTTGTTGTTGTTCTTGTCGAAATCGTGAGTTTTTAACGAGGGCACAGAAACATGAGTTGGGTAATCGACACTTTGGCTCGATTTCCACTACAATCAAAGAACCAAGAAAATTAAATGATGAACTATTGAAAATAATCAAGAATCAAGAATATAGGTATGTACCTGTTGAGCAAGAGAGTATGCAAGTGCTCTCTCTCTCTTGACAGCTCCTTCTTGCCTCATTTGTATCTTCGTCTTAACCTCTTCGAGCGTTCCTCTGCTATCACACCATCCCTCCTAAAAAATCGAAATGAAATTCGAATAATGTACTAATACAACACCACAATCAAATAAAAGAATGGTTGGATTATACACATATATATATATATATGTATACCTCAGCCTGTTTCAAGATATCATCATGGCAGTGGCGTTCATCGAGCATCTTCTGAACGGCCTGTCCCTCTTCAGACATACGCACACGACGAGCTCTAACACGAGCTTGTACACGGACAAGGGCTTGCATGCACCTTAGGGTTACAGCCGCTTGTTTTCGAACTTGCCGCCCACGGACTATCGCTTGAAGCCTCACCAACCCTTTTAAAGCTCTCAATGCTCTTCTTGCCTGTAATATTTATTTTTTTCCCAGAATCAGATAAATGTAATAATCATAACAAATTGTCATCTCAAATTTCAGATGATTATTTCATTATAAGTTTCAATTACAGGCTTGAAAACAAAAGAAAAAGGGTGTTACCAGAAAAGCTCTGAAAGCAGTTTGGATTCTAATGGCGGCCCATTCTTGCCTAACAGCTCTGAAATCTTTAGGAGGAGCCCTAACTACAGTTGACACGGAATTCGCAACTGGAAAGTCGGAATTAATGCCACAGTTCACAGTTTACATCATCGTTCACAAATTATATACCTGAAATCGAATGCCGTAGATAAAGATAATCACACAATCAAAACCTGTAGAACCAATTTTCAAATTCACCCCCAAATTAACCAAAATGTATTGACAAGAAGTTGACACGAAATTCGCAACTGGAAAGTCGGAATTAATGCCACAGTTCACAGTTTACATCATCGTTCACAAATTCTATACCTGAAATCGAATGCCGTAGATAAAGATAATCGCACAATCAAAACCTGTATAACCAATTTTCAAATTCACCCCCAAATTAACCAAAATGTATTGACAAGAAGTTGACACGGAATTCGCAACTGGAAAGTCGGAATTAATGCCACAGTTCACAGTTTACATCATCGTTCACAAATTCTATACCTGAAATCGAATGCCGTAGATAAAGATAATCACACAATCAAAACCTGTAGAACCAATTTTCAAATTCACCCCCAAATTAACCAAAATGTATTGACAAGAAGTTGACACGGAATTCGCAACTGGAAAGTCGGAATTAATGCCACAGTTCACAGTTTACATCATCGTTCACAAATTCTATACCTGAAATCGAATGCCGTAGATAAAGATAATCACACAATCAAAACCTGTAGAACCAATTTTCAAATTCACCCCCAAATTAACCAAAATGTATTGACAAGAAGTTGACACGGAATTCGCAACTGGAAAGTCGGAATTAATGCCACAGTTCACAGTTTACATCATCGTTCACAAATTCTATACCTGAAATCGAATGCCGTAGATAAAGATAATCACACAATCAAAACCTGTAGAACCAATTTTCAAATTCACCCCCAAAATTTTTTAAACCAAAAAGTTGCCACAATTGAAAATTACATCATCGTTCTCAAATGCTAACCTAAAGCCGAATTCCGTAGATGAAGATAATCACAGAATCAAAGCCTGCAGAACCAATTTTCAAATTCACCCCCAAAGTTGGCTGTCTACAATAACTGAATAAGTTGACATGGAATTCACATGAAATGTAACCAAATTAAAAGAGGATCAAGGAAACAGAATCGGAAATTCAGAGATAATACATACACATTACAGATATATACATACAACGATAGAAATAGAATGGATTTCAGTAGTGATAGTTTCGAGCTTGCATGAATTAGGGGAGAGAGTCTCTGCATTTTCCTTTTACTTTCTCTATCTAGAATATTACCTGAGATTATCGTCGCTTACTTTCTCTCTCTATCTTCGAATCTTCTTCTCTGATCGCCGCCTGTGTTTTGTTCGACGAGATGATCTTTTTCTGTTTTATATTGATGGAAAATACAGTTAGAGGGTTTCAGTTGTGCTGTGGCGGGAAAAGGCAGTTCTGTACATATTTTAATTGGTTTAGGTGGGGCCCACTAAATGCCAGCTTTGAATATTTTGTTATTTTTAGTCAAGGTGATAAATAAATTGCAATTTCGTATCAAATAAATTAATCAAAAAAATGTTCTAGAATCGAAAATAAATAATAATGTTGAGATTATAAAGGTGATATTTTGTTACGTACGCTAAAATATAGTTTTTTTAAGTCATATGCAGTAAGATATGTTTTCATTTATACTTTGGTAAGGTCGAAATTAAGTTGAATTTTGTTCCAATTTTGGAATTATAATTGAAAATTGTTAATCCAAAATTGAAACTTCAGTAGGATTTGATTCCAATTTCTTGCCATATTGCAACTACATAGCATCTCATTCAAATTATTCTATAGATTACGAACCATATTTGAGCACGAAATCCACTACAAAAAGACGATCATCTGATCCACGTACACGCAAATCATTTCGAGAGAGAGAGAGAGAGAGAGAGAAAGTAATATGTCTAGCTAGTCAAAGATGAAAAGATAACTACGTCGTCCTTATTTTCCAGATGGCGGCGTTGAGAGTAAAGACGACGACGCCATCCTTATTTTCCAGATGGCGTTACATCCCCAATCTATATTTGCTGCTACTTTGGGCTCATGATGCAGGACTTGCTTACCATCCATGTTAATCAATGGTGATAAGATCGCCGCAATCTCGTTCGGCTCCCGTTGTAGCTTTTCAATCATTACCGAAGGGCTTGGCAAATACCTACTCGCATTCTTCCCATACCATTCTATTCATTCATCCATTCCATAAACACACACAATTATATTATAATATAATAAAAAAGAAAAATCAATATATATATATATATATATATATATATATATATATATATATATATATATATATATATATATATATATATATGTATATATATCGACATTTATTTACCCATAGTATCGAGATCGTTGTTTTCTTGAGCATAAGCTGTGGCTTGGTCCTCGTAAGCCCTGACTAGTTTGTCCAAACGCATGGATTGTTGTACGAGGATCTTAGTGGCATCCCGGACTCGTTTTACGCGAGGATTTGTTTGCTCAAAAGGCAATGCTTTCTCGGCATTGTCAATAAGTAACTCTAAACTAGGGTTGGTAATTTCTTCGATGTGGGTCCTCATTACGTAACCCATCAAGTAGACTAACTTACGCCACTCTAAAATGTGTTGCTCTATTTGAGGCCACAATCTAGCAAGCTTTTCATCCTTTTCAATTTCGTCCGGGATTCGAACCCCGCCACACCCTGGAGGGTACGGGTGGTTTAGTAACGCTTGCATGGCCAACTCCCCGATAGCCGTACCCATTCCTTCTTTGAAGGATTCAATCATGTTATTGAGCCGCCGCATACGCCCTAGCACCGGAATTTCCGACATTTTTCTGTTAAAAAAAAATTCATAAATTAAACCCCTTTCAAAGTTAAGGCTCTTATAGATTGATATTCAACACTCCAAAACCCTAGTATCTTGTACAAGATTAATCTAACTACGAATATTCAACTAATTAATTAGTGGCTGAGCCAATAGATATCAACAGTTCAACAAAATACCAATGAATTACTAGGGGCAATGTTTGGAAGTGTTTTGGATGTTATTTTGATTTCATTTTGAGGAAATATGTTTTGGGAGAAGAATTTGAGAATGAAAGTAATGTTTGTTTATATTTTGGAAGGAGACAAAATACACTGTAGCAGTCAAATCATGTTTAAAGGTGTTAGAAAAATGTATTTTAGAAGAAAAAAATTGAAAGATGAAGTGATGTTTATTTGTTTTTAATGGAAACATTTTATACTGTAGCAGTTAAATCATTTTACTGTAGCAGTCACATCATGTCTGAAGGAGAGAAAAACTTTTAAAATTATTTTGAGAAAATGATTTGAAAAATTTAATAAATACAATTTTGTTTTGGGGAAACAATGAAAACAAAGCAAGAATGCTTCCAAACATTGCCTAGGGTTTTATAGATGCTGCATCTGCTGAAATACACTGGGCTATTGTGTCCTATTGTACACTATTGATGTATATATAATAACACACACTCATGTATATGTATGCTTAGTATATATGTGGTTATTTGTATAGATCTATTGTACAAAATCACCCCGTGCAGTCCGTGTAACCATGTCATAGAGAATTATATGTTTCTCTCTCTTAAGTTTCCACATAATTAAAGGGGAAAAAGTTAATACAACACACGAACAACAACATAACCCTTATATCAACAACCAAAGCCAAAATTCACATTCAAAACGCCCAAAGAATAATAAAAAAAGAAAAAAAAAAAGAAAAGAAAAACATAATACCTTATAATTTGATTAAAATAACACAGCCCTAACAAAATTCGTCACACTGGGGAAAAGCATGTGACATCAGCGTTTCCTGTATTTATAATACGATTAATTAATTCTCACGGGCCCTAAGCTTTTAAATTTTATCAGTTTGAGCCCAATTAGTTATTTTAGGCCCAACTTTCCTCATTTTTCCTTTTTTTGTTTTCTATTTTTTAAATAATATTTTTCTATGTTGCTAAATGTCACTAAAAAAGTAGGTTGTGCCTAATATTGGTAGACCGTGTAGCATCTAATGAAAAAACAAAATGACACAAGCAATCTTTTAGGCTGTTGTTTTATTATTGGCTTATTAGCCAATTCATTGGAGCTACCTAGGATATTGATTAAATATAAAAAATTCAAATAGGGGCATAATAATAATAATAATAATAATAATAATAATAATAATAATAATAATAATAATAATAATAATAATAATAATAATAATAATAATAATAATAATAATAATAATAATAATAATAATAATAATAATAATAATAATAATAAGACAAAACCATATGTGGAGGAATCTAAACCAAAGTTCACCATCATGCCAAAATTTGATGCCCTCATAAAATCTTTTTCGTCAAGATGCCATTTAGCTTGATGCTTAAATAAAATTCCAAGATTCTTTTTTACAATAATTGAAAAAATTCTAAGATTCTTTTTAAATAAATCTTGAAAATTAAATCTTGAAATATGTATATATATAATAAACGTAACATAATCGTCAAACCCCACAATGATAATAACAAACACACAGTAAAAAAAGATATTGAAAAATTAAACTTAGGCCCCCACCAAATTTTGCCAATATTAGTAGCATCATCATTCATCAATGACAAAAAAGACCACCTCACATAAATTAAAATATTATTGCAACTTCCCTTTATATTAATCCCTTAAACCAAAATCAATTCTTCTCAATCATCTCTCTCTCTCTCCTCTATTTTATCTCTCTAGAATGGAGTTTTTAGCATCAGTTTTTCATGAGTTTACAGAGATGGAGGCACCTGTTTTATCAGCAATATTAGCAGTAATTTTATCAGGATTATTAATATTATGGTATTTTTATGAGCCATATTGGAGTGTTAGAAAAGTGCCAGGTCAGCCACCAATTCCAATTCTAGGACATCTCCCTTTGCTTGCCAAACATGGCCCTGATGTTTTCTCTGTTCTTGCCAACCAATACGGTCCCATTTTCAGGTGTTTTTTTTTTTTTGTCTGAATTTTTTTCTTGTCTGAAAAATAATTTTCTCATGAAAAAAAAAATGTTTGAAAACAGGTTTCATATGGGGAGACAGCCACTAGTGATTGTAGCTGATGCAGAGTTATGCAGAGAAGTTGGTATAAAGAAATTCAAATACTTTTCCAACAGAAGCATCCCTTCTCCAATTGCAGCTTCTCCTCTTCATCAAAAAGGCCTCTTCTTCACAAAGTAATATAATTACGGAATCGTCGAATTGTTTTGATAATCGAAAGCTCGTAATTTTCTCGAAAACAAGAAATTATATTTTTTAGTTTTTTTTCCAGGGACGGACAATGGTCGGCTATGCGAAACACGATTCTATCCGTTTATCAGCCGTCTCATCTTGCGAAATTAATTCCTACCATGCAAGAATTCATCGAAACCGCCACTTCGAATCTTGATTCTAAAGATTTCGTCTTTTCTGACCTATCACTCAAATTAGCAACAGATGTGATTGGACAAGCTGCATTCGGGGTCGATTTCGGCCTCTCCAAGCCCAATTCCGTTACTAAGTTAAACAACAAAAACGACGAAAATCAAGTCCAGGAATTCATCAAGCAACACATTTACTCCACTACCCAACTCAAAATGGATTTATCAGGCTCGTTTTCGATCATATTAGGCCTCCTTATTCCGATCCTACAAGAACCCTTTCGACAGATTCTCAAACGAATACCTTTCACCATGGACTGGAAAGTCGAACGAACAAACAAGAATCTGACTAACAGGCTCGATGAGATCGTTCAGAAAAGAACGAAAGACAACGTTGGATCGAAAGATTTCTTGTCCCTTATACTTCGAGCAAGAGAAATGGAGACAGCTGCAAAGAACGTCTTCACATCGGATTACATCAGCGCAGTCACTTACGAGCATTTATTGGCCGGATCAGCAACTACTTCGTTTACGTTATCTTGCATCGTTTATTTGGTAGCTTCCCATTTAGAAGTCGAGCGGAAGGTTCTAGAAGAAATCGACTCGTTTGGGCCCCACGGTCAAATTCCCACAGCCAATGATCTTCAACACAAGTTTCCTTATCTTGATCAGGCAGGGTTTTCTTCTATGTTTTCATTTTCTTGAAATATCGAAAAAAACAAAACAGAGGAATTTGGAGATAATATCTCATTTTATTAAATCTTTAATTTTCGAGTGCAGGTAATTAAAGAAGCAATGAGGTTCTATACAGTTTCACCTTTAGTTGCTAGAGAAACATCAGCAGAAGTTAGTATTGGAGGCTATGTTCTCCCAAAGGTACATAAAACCCAATCCAAAGATTAAAAATCCAGTCTTTACACTGTATCTATACACATATATATGGTTATTATTATTTTTTAAAGATGGGCATTTTTAATTGGCAGGGAACATGGGTGTGGTTGGCTATAGGTGTTCTAGCAAAAGATCCGAAAAATTTCCAAGAACCGGAGAAATTCAGACCAGAAAGATTCGATCCAAACTGCGAAGAGGAAAAAAGAAGGCATCTTTACGCAAACATCCCGTTTGGCATAGGGCCTCGTGCTTGCATCGGACAGAAATTCACCTTGCAAGAACTCAAACTTTCGATGATTCATCTATACAGAAATTACGTATTCCGCCACTCCCCACAGATGGAGAACCCCTTGGAATTCGACTACGGCATTGTACTCAACTTCAGACATGGCGTAAAGGTTCAAGCCATCAAACGCCCATGAAAAAATAGAAGCACGTCGCTTGTTCAAATTCATAGATTATAATATTTTACATAATGCAGAATTCAAACCACAAATCTGATTACAGTTTTTCAACATAAAAACAAACAACAGGGTGTTGTAAAACTCAAATCGGATATTAAGACGACTAGTTATTTAAAAGCAAGCCTCTCTATCAGTCAACTTTCTTGAAAACTTGTCTGTTCTGGCCGGAAGGCAACCACCACCGCCACCGCCGCTCTTCAAATCACTATTGCTAAAAGCAATCGACTTTTTAATAAACTGAAACTCATCCATGGACTGCTGTCTTTGAGCATTTTGTTTCCTCTGTTTCGCCTTAGTAGCTTCGGTCATGTTCATGTAATTAGGCCTATTACAGCTCTGGTTACTGTTGTTGTTGCTCTCTTCTGTTTTATCCGAAAAAACGGGAGTGAAAATCGATGAAGAAGCAGAGCTTTCGTCGTATCTGAAGTAATCAGAACTCGGACTCGAAGAAGAGTGAGTAGGTTGTGGTGGCTTTGCTGATATCCTAGTTGAGACATTGTTTTTCCGCACCTTAACCGAACTAGGTTCGGACAACCTAGGAAATTTCTCCTTTGAGGGCTTAGATGGCGGTGGAGTAGTCGTTGTGTCCAATATATGATCGGTATTATTATTATTATTGTTTTGGATTTGTTGTTCCATTAATCTGTTTTCCCAAGGCTTAGCCACCATCCACCGTTCAAGCCAGCTCCATCCATTGTTGTTGTTGTTGTTCTTGTCGAAATCGTGAGTTTTTAACGAGGGCACAGAAACATGAGTTGGGTAATCGACACTTTGGCTCGATTTCCACTACAATCAAAGAACCAAGAAAATTAAATGATGAACTATTGAAAATAATCAAGAATCAAGAATATAGGTATGTACCTGTTGAGCAAGAGAGTATGCAAGTGCTCTCTCTCTCTTGACAGCTCCTTCTTGCCTCATTTGTATCTTCGTCTTAACCTCTTCGAGCGTTCCTCTGCTATCACACCATCCCTCCTAAAAAATCGAAATGAAATTCGAATAATGTACTAATACAACACCACAATCAAATAAAAGAATGGTTGGATTATACACATATATATATATATATGTATACCTCAGCCTGTTTCAAGATATCATCATGGCAGTGGCGTTCATCGAGCATCTTCTGAACGGCCTGTCCCTCTTCAGACATACGCACACGACGAGCTCTAACACGAGCTTGTACACGGACAAGGGCTTGCATGCACCTTAGGGTTACAGCCGCTTGTTTTCGAACTTGCCGCCCACGGACTATCGCTTGAAGCCTCACCAACCCTTTTAAAGCTCTCAATGCTCTTCTTGCCTGTAATATTTATTTTTTGCCCAGAATCAGATAAATGTAATAATCATAACAAATTGTCATCTCAAATTTCAGATGATTATTTCATTATAAGTTTCAATTACAGGCTTGAAAACAAAAGAAAAAGGGTGTTACCAGAAAAGCTCTGAAAGCAGTTTGGATTCTAATGGCGGCCCATTCTTGCCTAACAGCTCTGAAATCTTTAGGAGGAGCCCTAACTACAGTTGCAACAGCAGCATTGAAAGCATCGTTTTTAAGAGATGAAGAATCGCTGAAGGAATCTTGTGGGCCACCATTTCTTTTGAAACCTTTCCATGAAGAGGACCCACCCACATCAATGGAGGATGATGATGAATTCTTCCATATCTTCCATTTTTTGCCCTTTACACCAACTTTTTCCTTTAAAATAAATTAAAGGGTTTGCAAAAAGTAGGAAGAAAAAATCATCAAAAATTCAATTTTGTACTTAAGAGTTAAATTTATGCAGTAAAAACCTAGTCTTTTTTCCAGTAATGGTTACAGGCAGCAGTAAAGATTCGATTTTGACTCAACATTTGCAGTAAATAAACCGTACATAATAGGTTGAACACAGAAGACTACATGAAATGAAGATCAAACATAAAAAAGATTGAATTTTTATTTTTGTTTTTTGTTATTACAGGGTGTATAGAGAAGCTTACATTGTCATCTTTGTCGGGTTTCTTGAGCCCAATCAAAGCTTTGATCCATTTGCCAGAAGCCCCCATTGCAGAGAAAAATGGAAAGGAAGAAGAAGAAGAGATTAATGTGTGTTTAATGGAGAAAGTGATAGGCAACGTCTCATATGGAAGAGGACCAGTGATTTTAAATGAGAGCTGTAAAAATAGCTGTTTCTTCTTTTAAAGAATTAAACCTTATTAAATACACCCATTTATGTAACATAGACTGAGGGGGCGGTTGGTGAAAGTGGGGGGCGGGGTGGGGGGCTAGTACAATTATACTCCTTTCATTAAATTTTTTCTAATTTTAATTAATTATTTTTTTACACTCTGTGATTCTTGTTTCCCACTAAAACAGGGTTTTTTTTTTTTTTTTTTGGTACATTTAAAATAAATCTTGTTGCTAGATTTTTTGCTGTATTTGAACTAATTTGGTGGATTATTATTGTTAAAATATTACAAACAAAACTAGTAAAAATAAATAATTAATTAATTAGTTGAAGGGGGGTGGTGGTGGGTACAGTACGTGGTGAGTGGTGGTGACTGTGCACACAGAAGAGTGTGTAGTAATGTGTGTTTTTTGTTTGTTTTGTTGAGTCCAATGAGTGAGTGAGTGAGCCGTTGGGTTTGGAGAGTTTGAAATTCAAAAAAAACGGCTTATTCCCGCTCGAGTTGGTGGGACGAAATGGGCCACGCCTTTTTAGACTAATTACGATAATGGGCCTGCCTATCTATCTGGGTGGGTGGATCCTAAAAAGGCACGACCCGTTTAAGCATCAAAAGGTGCAAATTAAATAAATAAATATATATTTTAATAATTTAATTTTAATAATAAAGAAAAGAGCATATAGTATGTTTTTATTTATGTAAAAGCAGACAAAGAAATCCCTAATTAAGATATGTGCATGCTGTCTTTGCAGATAGATTGACAACATTTGCATTGGATTCCTCTGTCGGATTGTTTGTTGACTCTCTCTCTGTGTGTGTGTATTATAATATAATACATACTATATTGGTGTATTTTTTATTCATCATCAAATTGTTCTGTATTTTGGCATTTAATAAAATGCTTAATTATCATTTTTGTATTAATTAAATCTCGTGCAATAAGAGAGCAATGTAATACATTGGAGTGAAGACTTCATCATTATTCATTAACTTCATCATTTTGAGATTGGAGAGTTAATGGTCATCTCCTAGTGTAAAGTTAAATTACAAAAAGATCCTTATTATTTAAGTAATCACAACCAATCCCTTCAGTTAGGGGTGTTCATTCAGTCGGTAAATCAATCGAATCGAATCGAATAAAAAATTTGGTATGTGCCTAATACTGAAGCGAAAATTCGGTTTTGTATTCTATAAATTTTTACAAAGAAATTATCTTTCAGTAAGGATAAACGTGTAAAACTTTAGACAATTAAGGGAGTTATTGTAATTATCTAAAATTAAAAGGATTTTTATAATTTAACCTTATTTTAGTAATGACCGTAATTTGCTCGAATTGGCATATTATGGGCAGTTTCACTATCAAAATTTGGGACCTCTTGTCGAGTGTTAACTGTCACAACACAAATGATGTAACAACTGCTCAAAATTGACGAATCCTACACGAAATTGAAAATCGTGTCAAACATCAATTTTTCTTCACTATGTCATTTATTTATATTTTTCAGCAAAAGAAATAAAAAAATAAAAAGATAATAAAAAATAAAAATTGTATCTTGTTGTTTAATGGAGAGTGGAGACATTTAAACATGAAAACCGAGGTTGAAAACTTCGAGCCCTAATTTTGTCTTCCATTAATTTAATTTGTTTGACCTAATTTTAGTATCAGACTTCAGAATCCTAATTTGGCAACACTCTGTCGACACCTGTCTCTATGAATGAATTGTTTAAATCTCCAGCTTGGCATATATAATATAAAATATAAAATAAAATATGCACAAAACATATATATAATATAAAATAAAATATTCATCGAATAAAAAGACCCCAAGTACAACATAAGTAATTAATTATACATTTAAACAATGAAACGCCTGCTTCATGCACTTCCATCCATAATTATCTATACTAACCATGTTTAATTAATTTTTTTATTTTAATTTAAAACTGTGAGTTAATCCATGGTCAAACATGAAAAACTGTGGGTCATGAATCATTATCTGATTTTCATCTGGCACGATTAATGCTAAATTAATGTAATTATTTTATATCAACTGTTACATTTTATTCACAGCACTCTAGGGAAAGTTTAATTTTTGAAATAATTGAGTAAAAAATGGTTCAATAATTGGAAGTTGAATGAGACAACCTAGGACTTACAAACCCCATATTAGCAATCCTAGGTGACATTCGGATATCCGGGCTGGGCCGAGGCGAAGGGATAGGATTATCAGTCCTGGAGTAACGAGGCGTGGGATTGATAACTTTATCAGCCGGGGATAGATTAACTTTGTCAAGTGCCAGAGATTGAAGCTCAATTGGATAATCCCTCACACAACCAATCCTAGGACCAACTCCACTTGTCCACTTGCTTGTTATTAAATCTGCCTTGTTGTTCAAATCCAGCTTTGCTGCATTTATGTTGCTTGTATTTATTCCCACTCCGCCTTTTCGTATTGTTTTCGGTTCCTTTATCGTCGCGTTTTCCGCCTTATACTCGTCGTCATCGCCTATCGTGCATCTCTATGGAAAAGAAATAATGTGCAATATTAATACTGTCATGCATGTTCTTGATTTTAATTTAATTTCTTGCATCAAGATTTAGAATTTAGGACTACCTTAACATTGGTCATGTCGACATTGTTCGCTTCAAGAAAAGCGACAAATTCGTTGAAATTGTCTTCCGTAGGAAGATAATGACCGCTATAAGGCCATATCGCCTGCACACAAAAAAAAAAAAAACCCGGAATCAGTTATGATTTATTAGCATTTTTTTTATAAATGGAAATGAATTTAAAACATTTTTTTGTTTTAATTTTTTTTAATTACCTCAAGAACACCATAGTGAGCAACTAATCGACCAGCCGAGGTAGTAACGCCACCGGAAAGAAAACTCGAATGTTGGAAAAGACCCTTCTTTTTCGGTCCCACATAGAAATTTTTTGAAGTGCTGAGTACAAATATCCACTTTGAATTCTCATCTGTGTTCAACAAATTCCCACTTTGCTTGTACACTAACTTCCCTTTTTCGACAATCACTTCGTATGCTTCCCTCTCTTTCTGTCGTCGTACGATAAAAAAAATAAAATCTTATATTATATATGTTAATTACTAAAAATATTTAATTTTTTTTGGTTCAAGGAAATTTCAGTTAATAGGATTGTTTACAGGTCCAAGATATTGGATGCATTCGCGTTGCAAGACGACCCTCGGGCAGCTCGGAAGATTTACTTCTTTGCCATCGCCGATATCCAACCTTTTTTTCAAGAAAGATAACATGATATATAAATAACATAGGATTAATTATTTATATATGATTGGTTAATTGTTATATACCAGTAGAAGAAAGGCTGGTAACTTTTCATGTCGAACCATACATCGTAGTAGAAGTGTAAGTTGCGTCCATAGCGATGACGAGGATCAATCTGCTTCAAAAAAAAAAACATAATTAATATCATATAATTTTTTTATACCAATAAACTTTCATGAAGAAGCAATTAATTAAATTTCTGGCATTAATTTAATTACAGCCTGCAATAAAATAAACATCACATGAGAGAATATAATAATCGATCTTACAGCTTCAAGCCAATGATGCAGAGCAAGTTTCTGACCATTCTCATCCTTAATTAAGCCTTTCCCAACCTATAGACATCATAATTAGTAACCATGTAATTAATTAATAAATTCTTGAAAATGTAATTAATTTCAGATGTATATATATAAATATACCTTAGCAGCCCTTCTTCTTGCACGATACCACCGTGAGGCAGCAGTTTCGTGTTCGTTTATGTTGAAGAACGATATCGAGCTTATGTCCAAAGCTGCCGAATCCAATGCTTTCCACCTATTTAACAAATAAAACATGGATTTTTTTTTTGTTATATCAAATAAATAATTACAATAGTCTAGTTTGATTTTTTTAATCATATTAAAGACAAGTGTAACTAGACAAACCAGAGCTCTTCAACGACAACGGCACAATCTGCAAGATTTCGTCTAGTCCTATAACTCTTGTACACTTTCTGCACCTTAGTTGCAGCATTATCAAGCTCAAATATAGGTCTTGGAGAAGAAAACAACGTGGGGCCCGCAATTGTAACGGAAAATTCGGGCTTTGGGCCGTCGACTTCTTGATTATCTTTTCCATTAACAGAATCTGAACACTCATTTTCCATGCCTACAAACTAACTCTAGAATCTGCTTACTGAATTGAAAATCTTATGCCCCAAATTCTGTTTGCATGCTGATAAAAAGTAATGAAATCACATTGTTTATAAGAAGAAAAAATCGAAACCAAAACCGAAACCGAAACCGAAACCGAATCACATTCTTTATAAGAAGAAGAAGAAAACAGGTAATAAAATAAAGCAATTGAAAATCAAGAAAATGTGTACCTTTTGTAGTTGATTTCCATCTTCAGTATATTTTTTAGCTCTACAAGAAAGTTGTTATCTTGAAATAAATGAAGTAAAGTACATAAATTGTGAGACCCTCTTGATTTTTCAATAAATGGACAATATTTCAAGAACTCAGACAAGTCAAGCTAGAGTCAATAGATGTGTGCTTGGACCATTGTCCCTTTCAATAATTGACTTTTGATTTTTAGTTTTGGTGTTTTTAACCAGCATTGATTTTTCTTATCTAGTCACTCATCTAATTAAGAAAATCTAAAGAGATGATCATTAGAAAACTATATCAAATTATAATCAAATGGATTCAACTATAATTCAGAACACAAACAGTTGGAGGGTAAACAAAATCTTTATCCAATCAATAAGAACAAGAGTTTTGCAAAGTACAATCAACGAAAAGATTAGAAAATATCAGGGATTGAATTGAAAATTTTGAAAACTTCATTTTCGGACAAACAAAATTTTTGGGGTGAATTTATAATTTCCGAAATTTCTGATCTAAAGGGTATTGATCCATTGGGTATTTTAAAGGGTATTGATCCATTGGGTATTCAAAAATTTTGGGGTGAATTTATAAATTACTAAGCAGTATTGATTCGTACTTTTGAATATATTTTAAATGTCAAATAGAAATGTTTAGTAATTTAAATCTTACGATTCGATTTGATTAGTATTTTTGAATGTCAAACAGAAATGCTTAGTAATAGAAGCTCGATTTTTAATTTGATTCGATTTGTTTAGTACTTAGTAAATAATTCCTTCTGGTTTACTTCATGATCCTCGCAACTCGTAAATTGTACTGTTCATACAAGGTGGTGAGCCTGCAAATTTTATTTATTTTTTGCTTTATTTTTTCATTAGAAGCTCAACATAAAAATGCATTTAACTCACATTTTTACAAATGGCTAAAATAATACTGCAAAGATCTTTTAAATAGCCATTAGCATCCAAGACAGTGGACTCGCCCCGAGGCGGTTTCATCAACTCTCTGTCGCAAGAACTAACTCGATCCGCAGCGGCAGCAACGTACTTTTTTACGAAACTTCCAGCCCCACCCGACATATGTCTTTTAGCTTCCTTGAGTTGATTTATGACAGCCTTGTAGCTCAAGAAACAATTATAGTACTTTACTCTAATCTCCGGTTTATGAACTGATACACTTCTGTAATGAGACCAGACTAAGTCAACTGTTCTATTTGCTCGAGACTGAGCTTCGTTCATCGAGTTTCCTCCCAAGATTGCAATCGGATTTTCATGGAGGCTCTTACCTTTTAAAGGGTTCAGATTCTTTAAACAGAGAGATGGTTTTCTCGTCTCGTTGCAGATTCGTTGGATCAGTTTATCTGTTACTGCTGCATTGGTTTCTGCTAATGTTAAACAATTGATTGAAGATGATAATATTATTGTGAAAATCAAGAATGAGTTAACAAGATAAACAAAATGTGTACTCATTCTTGAACTCTAGAATTTTCGATTTTTTTTGGTGGAGATTTAGATTTCGTTGATTTTGTTGTTCTTAAATACATAACTTAGGTGCTAAGAGTATTTTCCATTTTATTATGTAAGTAAGAAACTGTGCACACAAAGGAAAAATGCATTAATGACCATTAACTGAAGAAAAATCCTCGTAATAACCCGGAAATATACTTTATTATTTTAAGACAATCACGTTATACGGAGCCATTTACGATTCAACTATACACTTTATTACAAATTCCCACGATTATGTCGCACAGATCCTTAAACTCCTTGTTATCTTGCAAGAACTTCCTTTTATTATTAGTCTCCGGTAGCTTCGTCAATTCCGAGTCGCACGAGTCAACTCGGTCGACTGCCAGCAAAGTGTAGTGTTTGAACGATTTCGCTTCACCGGCCAACATGAATTTCTTGGCTTCCTTAAGTTGCTTCATAGCATCTGCATATTTGACGACACACCTATTGTACCTTAACCTTATTTCATCTTTCCAAAACGGTTTACCATGATAGTGGTCCCAAATCACTTTCGCTGTTTTATTAGCATGTGATTGGGCCATGCTCATGGGGCCCGCTCCCAATACGAAAAGGGGTTTAGGGAAAAGACGACCGCCTTTTAGAGATTTGAGGCTGTTAAGACAAAGAGAAGGGTTCTTTGTCTTGGAGCAAATATCGTTTATGAGTTCATCGGTGATTCTTGCATTTGTATCGGAAAACGCAATAGTTCTCAGAGGCGATGTTAAGAGTACGAGGATAATCAAGAGTGCCCCAAGAAAAGAAAGTTCCATTCTTGAATATCTATTGTAAGATAGAATGCAGAAAAAAACATGTGTGTGGTTTGCTTCATTAAATAGTTTTGGTTACCCTTTTTTCGATTTTTCACAAGTACGCGAAAATGGCAAAGTGCATTAAATAATCAAGTCAATCAAAATCTTCTTGATAAGAACTATCATCTATGCATTGATGATTGAACACTCAAACAAGAGATTTAAACAATTTAAATGAAGAATTTATTGCAGATGTGAGGAGATTATCGACACCTCATACTACCTTATGTTTTTCGACATTAGTATATTTCTAACTAACCGAGCATGAAGTTCCTCTTCAAGACACCACATATGGCGAACACAATGCTACAAAGATTATTAAACTTCTTATTATCCTTAGCAATACCCAACGGTTCGCGAAAGTGCCTAGCTAACTCTTGGTCACAAGAACGAACGTCAGCCGAAGCGAGTGAAGTGTGAAGCCTTGTCATTCTTATCTTTCCTGCAACCATGAATTTTTCAGCTTTCCGCAAATGATTCCTTGCGCTGATATAATTGTTCATACATTTACGGTACCGCCCTTTGACTTTAATTTTTTTTTGGTCTTTTATACCATCATAAATGCCCCAAATCTTCTTCGATGTCGATCTAGCATGACCCTTTACAATGTCCATTACATTCGCAAGAGGTTTAGGGAAGAGGGTTTTGCCTCGGAAATGGTTGAGAATCAAGTGACAAAGAGAAGGGTCCCCTGTTTGATAGCAAATATCTTTTAACACCACATCTGTTAATATTACAACTAATGGCACCTTCACAGTTCGAGGATTCGCAATAACACTTATGTTATTGGAACTATTGACTGGAGGGGATATTGTCATGAGTACAACGAAGAACAAGAAAGTGGTGACATGGCAGAGTTTCACCATTTTCTTGAACTTTAGTGTTTCTTGTTCTGGTTATTTCTCTTTGTTTTTGGACAGGGATTGTTTTGCTTATGTTTGTGTTTAAATAGGGGAAGGGTGTTTGTGTGTCAGAAAGTAAGGAAATGGTGCATATTAATGGCAAATTATATTGATGGCCAAGTTATTATTGAAGAAAAAACCTTAATTAAAGTTACCTCAGATGAAATTTTATGAAATCCAAAGGCAATAAATCCGAGTAATCGGTACATTTAAGAAGACAGAGATGTAAAACAAACGTTTTGTCGTTAGTTTCAATTGGAGAACACTAATACCAGACCACTCACAGAGATTCAAGAAATTAGCATATCTCATTTGATAATTTATGTACACGAACAACCGAAAGATCCCTTATTCTAATCCTAAATGCCAACAAAAGCATCTGTAAAATAAGGAACATACCTTTGACACCTCGCTTCCTTTGTGATCTCGTCAAGAACATCATATATCATCGGTGCATTCTCATGAGACCTATCGCCGGCCAGAAACTCGTATATGCTTCCTTCAATCTGAATCCAGCTCAAACCGGGGGGCTTTTTCGTCTTTATATCGAGCATTTTTCGCCTCACAGCCACCACATCCTCCCACTTCTTAGCTGCAGCGTATACATTGGACAATAGCACAAAGTAGCCAGCTGCTCTCTGAGGCTCAAGTTCCTCTGTCAGCCAATGTGCCACATCAGAAGCAAGCTCAACGCTTTTGTATATCCTACATCCACTCAAAAGGGCACCCCAAACAACATCGTTTGGCTTCATAGGCATCAATTTCACTAGCTCGTGAGCTTCATCCAATAAACCAGCACGGCTTAACAAATCAACCATGCAGCCATAGTGCTCGATCGTTGGTTCGATTCCCCAATCGGCAGTCATGCTACGAAAGTAATGGCGACCTTCATTGACGTAGCCAGAATGGGTGCAGGCACATAGAAGGCCCAAGAATGTGACTTTGTCGGGTCTAATATTGCTTTCTTTTTCTACGGTTTCCATCCATCGAAACACGGAGAGAGCCTCATCTCCATAACCGTGCTTCGCAAAACCCGTGATCATACTAGTCCAAGAAACTATAGTCCTCTTCTCCATCCTTTTGAATATTCCAAATGCTGCCTCAATTTCGCCACAGCTGGCGTACATATGTATCAGCGAATTCTTCAACGAGATGAGGATTGGCTTCCTTCTGTAAGCGAAAGACTCGAAAACGTATGAATGGATGTACTTGCCCAGGTTCAGATCACCCAATTCAGCACATGCTGACAGCACCGCTACCAGAGTAACCTGGTCAAACTTTATACCCTCCTTCTGCATCGAACGGAATAAGGACAACGATTCTTTACACCTCCCTTTTTGTGCACATCCAGCAATCATGGTGGTCCAAGACACAACATTTCTCACCGGCATCTCCTCAAAGATTCTTTGTGCTCCATCAACATCTCCACAACGAAAGAAACCCAAAAGCAAAGAATTCCACGTGACGACATTTCTGTCAGGCATTTCGTCGAACACTAACTTCGCCTTCCCAACTCCATCCTCTCCTCCACTCTTGACATAAAAATCAACCAAACTGGTCATCACATAAATATCCGAGCAAAACGAACTCTTCATAACCCTCCCATGAACCTGCTCCCCCTCTCCAAACAACCCTCCTTTCGCACAACCATTAATAACAAAATTATACGTATGCCCATCAGGCCGCGCTAAAGAACGCCCCATATAATTAAACAACTCAAACGACTTACGCGGGTTGCCGCCGATAGAATATCCTCGAAGAATTTGGTTCCAGACTGAAGTACTTGGATTACCCATTTGGTCGAACAGTTGGTGGGCACACGGGAAATTGTTGAAGGATGTGTACAAAGCCAACAGCTTGACAAGAACGAAGCTTTTACTGGCAAATCCATTGGTGGTGATGTGGCCATGGATTTGAGCGAGGTGTCTTATCGTTTTGCAGCGGTGGTGCAATAGGAAGAGGATATGCTGTTGCAGAAACCTAGCGTTGGTGTTGCCATGGGCGGGAGCGCTTTGTTCAACAAACATACATACACACGACTTTTGTTAAAAAATAATTCTAAAATATAATTTATAAAGTCTAAAGAGTATTAGAAAGTTGCTAGTGTATTTACTATTTAGGCTATGGTTCCAATTTTCGAATCGAAGCCAAATCGAACTTTAATCGAAACGAACTTGAATCGAGCTCGAGCAATTAGAAATCTCGGATTGCTACATATCATAGTAGTTACACATAAATATGTGTTTACGACGAGTCTCGAATCGTGTATCAAGTAGTGTCTTGTATTATATTTTTTTTCTCACCAAAATTTCATAAATTAAGACAAGGAAAAAGGGATACTAATACATTAATTATCTCAATCATACTTATTGAAGAGATTTTATTACTAGCTAGCTAACAATTAATCAACCAACCTTACTCTTAATTACTATATTAATTCATCCATCCTTTTCCAGGCTTAACCGTACTACAAATAGCAATTATCATGTTAGCAAAATCATTGAACTTCTTATTTTCCTCCGAAACGTTGTACGCCCCGTAATAGCCCATCATTTTCTTATCGCAAGATTGAATTTGTTCCATCGCCATCGAAGTGTACATCCTCACGGACGAAGCTTTTCCAGCAAGGATGAATTCGCTAGCTTTAGTGAGCAGATCCGAAGCGGCTCGGTACCTTTTCAAGCACTTGCTGTATCTCTTTTTTACGGTTTCGTCTTTTATGCCGTCGCTCATCCGCCATATCCTCTTTGTCGATTTCCTGGCATGCGTTTGAGCGGCCTCCATTACATTCGCCAGAGGCTTAGGGAAGAGTGGCTTGCCTCTGTAGTTTTCCAGCGTGTACCGGCAGAAGTCGCGGTTCGTTGACGTCATCTGGTAGCAGATTTTAAGGATGACGTCATCTGTTACTAGTATAAATGCAGGGGCCTTTATTATAATGGTGTTTCTAGGGTTGGAAATATCAACAGTTTCATTTCCTGAACTTGTTATTGCATGAGAATGTTTTAGGAGTAATGTAATAACCAGGAAGAACAAGAATGAACAAAGAAAATAGGGTTTCATTTTTTTTAATTTTTATTATTATTACTATTATTTTTTAATTAATTTCTTGGACACACTACTCTTCCTTACAGCAGTCTTAAATAGGTGAATTTAAATTTATGTGTTTGTTCATAAATTTAATGTGATACTTATCTCATACTACATATTGCTTCAAAATCTCAATAGATAAAACCTAATTAATATTGTAAGGACTACACATGCACAAATATATACAGTTGGCAAAATGCATTAATGACAAAGAAAAATCAAGATTAACACAATTAGTCAGATGATTGAATTTCTTTTTTGATTATTGTTCTATGAATATAATTATTTTCTCAATATTTTAATTCATTATGTAGAACAAGTATGATATTGCAAAGATCTTGGATCTTCTTACTAGCTTAGACAACGTTAGATGGAATATTATTCCGTTGTCCGGACAATTCTCGATCGCACGATTGAACAGCTGACATGGCACTTAAAGCATTATCTAACCGGCCGAATTGCGCGTTGCCTTTCTTCAAATCTTCCTTAGCACGTTTGAGAAAGATGGCAGCATCAATGTAATATTTCTTCCAACAACTATATGATTTGCACTACAAAAAAAAAGGGCTTTTGTGACGGATGATTCAGTCACGAAATGTAAGAAAATCTGTCACAAAAGCCCTTTTATCACAAATTTGTGACCGAATTGTTCTGTCAGAAAAACCCTCGTCACAAAATAAATTTGTGACTGATTTTTCTTGTCCGTCACAATGTTTATGACAGATGCGTCTGTCGCAATTAAAAACAAATTCGTCACAAATACGTAATCTAGGGTCTCCAAGTATTGTGACGGATTTCGTCACAAACCTTTTTATTGGTCATTAATGTGTCACAAATCACTGAGAATTTACATCACTTGTCCGTGACAACATCGTCACAAAAAAACGTCCGTCACAAATATTCCATCAAGAACATCGGTCACAAATACTTCATTCAAAACTTCCGTCACAAAATTCCATCACAAGTATCTCGTCACAAATATGTTACAAATATTTAATAATCTTTCGGTCACAATTCCATCACAAGTATCTCGTCACAAATATGTTACAAATATTTAATTATCTTTCGGTCACAATTCGATCACTGGTTATTGATTCAGGAAGTTTCGTTATTCGCTATTCAAAGCTATTTTAGTTTTTTTATATTTGTTATACGAATATTTCAAAACTTCATTCAACTTCAAAATTCTTGATAATCAACACACAATCTACTACAAAACAAAACTAACAAAAAGTAGAAGATACCAAGTAAATTCGCACAGAAAATTCTTAGAAGACCAAATTTACATATGATTCCACAATAGTCAAAACATATAATACATAGACCGAAAGAAAACTCGAAAGAGTTTTGCATTAAAATTGAAGGAAGCCACCTAATTTTTCAATTCGATACAAGTTAAAAAAGATATTTCTTCTGTAACAATGTTCGAGATCAATATCCTTCTCAGTTACGTGCTCGAGCTTGTTGATGCAGAAAGCTAGTTTCGATCAGACCGTTGCTGCATTGAGCCCTCAAATTTGAACTCGAACAAAATTTACACGAGACCCTGCGAGCAAAGAAATTTATTTAACAATCAGTAAATTCCAATGTGCAGATTTCATGATTATGGAAAAAGAATTTATAATTATTCCTCTATACTTACTGATGTGTAATCTATCACAATAGGAAACAAAAATACTCTTGTCGTCCACGATTATGCATGAGCCATGCAGAGTTTGTGATGAGTTCTTGGTGCTATTGGCATTTGAAAAACAAGAAATGCATCTTGCATCAATATTATTCAGAGGAAACATTATGATTAACCCCCAAAATCGTAAGCACTAGGTAAGGAAGGGGCAAAATACAAAAATCCGACCACTAAGATCTTCATTCTAGCTCTTTACTACAAAAAAATCCGAAAAAAAAGAAACTTTTATGCAAAATCATATTTGTCTGAACACTAGAAGCAAACCTGCAATCTTAACTTTTCAACGACTTGTATGGACAAAGTTTTATTGAAACATTCATTTCAACTTAGTAAAAGATTAAATCTAATTTGAAAACTTGCAGTAGTATAACACCTTTGGCACATTAGTCTAGAAGCAATTGAATAATATTTGGATAGGGCATTGATATCTCAAGATCATTAGAAGAGAAAAATGAAAATTCTGCTAAATGTAAAAGCACAACTCAAATGCATTGGCCATGACTAAAACCAACCTTAAAAGCAAATCTCACTACTTAGATGGAAAAAAGTCCTAGACTGCTAAAGGCACAATACCTTAGAGTTAATACGACCTTGAAAACACTATTAAAAAAATAAAAGTAGTGCGACCTCTAACAACTAGAGAAGATAAAAATACGTTAATCTCGAACAATAATTGTTTATATACGGCCTAACTGCAGATCTGGGGAATTAGTTATAACATTTCAATATACATTTGCATCCAAAACTCAGAATTCATGTAGACACAGATATGTAGTAAAGTACAAAATCAGAAACTACCCACTTAAATTGCCGGTAGAAGAAATTAGATAAGTACCTAAAATCACTGATGCCAAATCACTGATGCCGTTGTTGCTATAGATGGTAGAAACCACCGATGCTAGTAGAGAGCTATGGGCCTAATCGCAAAATCGCTGGTGGTCGGTCGGTGCGCCATGCCCAATCACAATAATTGATTCCCAGTCTACCGCTGTCGATGGTTTCATGTTTGAAACGGAGTTGGAGTTTAAAAAAAAACCGTAAATCCAGAAACCCTAACCTTGTCACCGGGTGTTTTGTTGATGTTTTCTGGTGCTTGTTGACAGTGTCCACGGTATTAATTTATGGTAGTGGGAGCGTGGAGTCAAATGTCAAAAACACCCTCTGACCGGCTGAAACCGATGAACCCGAAAATTGGTCAATGACCCGGGTTTTCATATCGGAGGCTGTTGGTGGCGGGATTTGGCCAGAGTTCGTCTGGGGTGACCGGATCTGGGTGGAGTAGGCCGTGGGTTGCCGGGATTTGCGGATCTGGCCGTGAATTGCCGGAATCCGACGGGTTTGGTCGTGGGTCGAACAGATGGCTGAATATGGATGGAGAAAAAAGATGAATAAGAAGAAAACAAATTAGATAAGGAAGAGATAGAGAGGGAAGAAGAAAAAAAAATAGAAGTAACAATTAATTAATTGTGAGTAAAAGAGAGGGGATAGGTGCTGAATTTCTTGGGAAAGAAACAGAAGATGAAGGGAAGGAGAAGCCGGCCGCAATGACGAGAGGAAAATTTAGAGAGAAGAAAAGGGCATAAAAAAATATTAAAAAAGTGAATAAAATAAAGGCAAGAGTCTATAAAAAAAAATAAAGGGGAAGAAAGTGTGAAGATTAAAAAAAATGTATATAAATTATAATTTTAAATATTAAAATTTATAATATAATTAAAAATTTAAAAAACTAAAACAACCGGGTTGAATCGGTCCAATCGTAACCCGAATGCTTATCCCGTTTTGTGTCCGATCCGATTCTGACAACATTAATTATTACATAATATACTACAAATCAAAGTACAATTAATTAATTTAAGCCTGATAATTTTATTTAATTGTAGGCTTCATTTTTTAATTCATCAAGTTCTTTTTTCAAAATAGTAAAATATTGACATATGATTGAAACAATGCATTTTTTATTATTTATTTTTAGGGTAAATTACGAAAATCCCCCATAAAAAAATACAATATGTTACATATGTAAGTTAATTAATTAATGAAGTTACTTATTAACAAAAATGGATCAAATTTCAAAATTGTGTATCTTACAAACTCGGTCGAAAGTAATTTAAAATCAAATAACAAATATTTTTTGAAGCAAAATAATAAACAAAATTAAACAATTTTCCGAACCAATGTTGTTAAAGAGGAATAGTATGAATTTTGAACAATATCTAAAATATATTTACAATATTAGCATTGGAATAGTTCATATTTGTTATATTATTATGTTTTTTAATATATTATAATCAGTTTTAGTCACCATTAAATTGTTTTACAAAGATCAAAATAAGTATAAATGATTAATAAATCAAAATCAAAATGTAATTATTTTTAATCAATAAACATATGTGTCGAATTTGTGATCAGGATATCAAAAGTGATGAATTAATGACGAAACTTAAAATGTGACAGATTCGTTACTGAATTACATGTGACGGATTTGTGATTGAATAAAGATAGTGACAGATAAATGACAAAATTTAAAATATGACAGATTTATGACGGAGTTGTGTATGACAGATGTGTGACGGCGATGCAGTAACGACGGATCAATGACGAATCGTGACATGGGACGGATTTATGACTAAAATCTATGTGACAAATTTGTGATGGAAACGAGATTGTGACGAATTTGTGACCAATATTAGTCAAACTATTGCTTCTTTAAAAATATTGTGACCGATTTGTGACTACACTATTTTTCGTCATAAAATATGTCACTGATTTGTGACAAAACTAATTTCTGTCAAACAAGATGTGACTGAAATGTGACAAAAGTTTGGTTGTCACAAAATTCGTCGCAAAATTGGTCATGTACTCGTCACAATCAATTGCAGAGTTTTTGTAATGAAAGCAGTCACAAATTTGACACCAATTCGATCACTAATTGTGACAGATTTAGTGTGTCACAAGTTTTCCGTTACAAAAGCCATGTTTTTTGGTAGTGTTGATGTAATTGTCTTAACCTGGACAAGTGCCATCTTAGTTGCACGTAAAAAAAGGTTCCGGAAAAAGGGGGAAGCCCCTGTAACTTTTCAGAATCTTTTGGCACACCCTATTGATGAATAGATCGGTTACGACTTCGTTTCGAGGTCTTATTATGAGTCTGTCCGCTGATTTTGCAACAATTACTGTAACGAAAATAACGAGCAATATCGAACGGCTAACGAGAGAGATCAGCTTCATTATTCTTATGATTTTTTTTTTTCAGGAATAGTTTGCTTCATATATATATGCATGTATATCTTTCTCTCATAATATAAATTAAAATATAAAACATGCATTAAGAATGATGAAGTAAATAGAACCATGACTAATTAATTAGATAGATAATCTTGACTATACGTACTTATCTCATCTATGACTATACTTATCATAAATTGCTTGAAAATCTCAATAGATAAACCTAATTAATATTGTAATTAGGACCACATATGCACAAATATACATATATATACAGTTGGCAAAAAAATGCATTGAAAAAACAAGAATATAGTAAAACAAATAATTAATCAGATGACTGAATTTCTTTTTTTTTATTATTGTTCCATGCATGGATATATATATATGTGTATACATCTTACAAATGATACATTAATCAACATATCCCATGACATATATTTATTCTTGATTTAATTTATAAATCAACCACAGCTAGCCTCAAAATTTTAATTCACTGTTAAGAACAAGTATGAAGTTGCAAAGTTCTTGGATCTTCTTACTACCTCCGGCAACGTTGGATGGAATATTCTTTTGTCCGGACAGTTCTCGATTGCACGATTGAATAGCTGCCATGGCATTTGAAGCATATGATCTGACAGATTGTGCGTCGCCTCTTTGATAATCTCCCTTCGCACGTTTGAGAAACATGGCGGCGTCACCGTAATATTTCTTCCAGCAATTACGGTACTTGCGTTTTAGGTCGGACTTTTCTTCTTTGATATTTCTGTAAAGGTTATAAATATGATTTGATGTTATATTAACCTGCTCAAGTGCCATCCCATTTGCATGTGCAAAAGGTTCCGGAAAAATGAGTTTGCCCCTAAATTTGTTCAAAATTTCTTCGCACAAATTAGGGTTTCTTGTGTTATGGCAAACCCTATTGACCAATACATTGTTTACGGTTTCGATTCTAGGTCTCATGATTATGGGTTTCGCCGCTGATTTTGCAACAACAACCGTAAGAAAAATAAAGAGCAATATTGAGCTAAGAAGATCAGAGAGCTTCATTATATATATTATTTCTTATGAAATATAATTCTTGATTTTTCTTGGACATGCATTAATAGTTTGATTTTGTTTGTGTCCTTAAATAGATATATGTGTTTGTTTTTCAGCAAAGAGATGTCACAAAATGGCAAATCATATTAATGAGAATTCGATGAACGGAAAAAAATAATTAATATCCCAAAGTTCCACAAAAACGACCGTTATATTTTCGGCTTTTCTTTATTTTTAATTTCGTTTATTATACGTCATCGACCATGCAATATTAATTAATCAATAGTACTCATTTATAAGCACATAGAACCATTATAATATTGCAAAGATCTTTGATCCTCGTACTATCTTTGGCAACACTCCTCGGTAAATACCTTCGCATCGGCCCCGTAAATTCTTTGTCGCAAGATTTAACTTCAAAAACTGCAAGTGAAGTAAACGAGCTGACACAGTTTGTATTTCCAACTGACATGAATTTGCGAGCTGTTGTGAGTTGATCCACAGCCTGAGAGTATTTCTCCCAACATCTAGAGTACCTCAGTTTTAGGTCGAATTTTTTGTCGTCTTTTAAGTCATGTTCGAGGTTACCAAATGTTGACCATGTTTCTACAACCTGGTTAAACGCCATCATCATTACACTTTCGAAAGAGTTGGTATAGAATCTTTTGCCCTTAAATGGTTTCATAATTTGTTGGCAAAAATTAGGGTTTCTCGTCTTCAGACAAGCCTCCTGTATGAGCGCATCGGTGACTACATTTCGTCGAACTTTTATAGGGTATTCAAGCGTTGAAAAGTTTCTACTTGTCTTCGGGCAAACTTTTCGTGCGAGCGCATTTGGCGTTCCTATACTATTGTTTCGATTTTTTGTGGGGCCAAGTGTTGATGAACCAGTGGCTGAAGATTTTGCAATGAGTATAAAGAAAATAATTAGGGCTAATATTGAGTTAAGAAGAGAGGGCTTCATTTTTTTTTAATATTAATTTTTTTTTTTTCTAGGTCAAGAACATTTGATTTTGTGTTGTCTGTGCTACCTTAAATAGTTTCATGTGTTTGTTTCCCTTTTTGCCGGGAAAATTAGATGGTGCATAAAATGGCAAATCATATTAATTATGTGATAATTAATTAATTATGTGATACTTATCTTAAGATATTCTCTAAAATCTCAATAGATAAGCCTCTGATTAATAAAAATCAGTCTCGATCTACACTCTTCGGTTTTAATTAATTTTTCGTTGTTCATTAATGTCGTAAGGACGAAATGCATATACAAATATAGTTGGCGAAATGCATGCATCAATGACCAAGAAAAACAAGAACATGTATAACAAACACGCAATATTTATTCGAAAAAAAACAATTTATTACAAGGAAATGCTGCTTTTCGTTACTTAATTAACTTGTTCATCACACAGAACTATAAGAATACTGCAAAGCTCCTGGAACCTTCTAGAACCAGCCGCAATGTTTGCCGGAACATGCTGCTGATTTGCGGACAATTTTAAATCGCCCGATTGGGCAGCTGACATGGCAAGTGAAGCGTGACTCTTCGCAGATGTTACGTAATTAATGCCACCTTGCAAGTTTGCATTAACTTCTTTGAGGTATTTTGTAGCAACACTATACTTCTGCCAGCTAATGTGGAACCTCGTTTTTAGTTCCGATCTGTAACGGCTCATGTGTTTGTAAAGATCCCAAATTTGTCTGCCTGTCGTTGTAGCCTGTGCAAGTGCCAACGCGTTGAAACGGGCAAGAGGGTGCGGAAAAAGAGGGCTGCCCGTGTATTGGATCAGAATATTCCGACACAACTCAGGGTTTCTTGTCTTAGGGCAAACCCTATCTACGAGTTCCTTCGTTACTCGTGTGGGGGCGGCCGATGAAGATTTTGCGACGAGTATTGTGAAAAAAATCGAGAGCGTAATTATTGATACGAGAAGAGAGGGCTTCATTCTTGATTTTGTTTTTGAAGAACAGTTTTTTTCTTTTTTTTTTTTCTTTTTTGTGTGTCTAATTTAAATAGGTGGGGGTGTTTTAATTCATTGGCAAATCACATTTAATGATTTGATGAGACAGAATTAATTCTTAATAAAGTTAGAATTAATAAGTGTAAAATAGGGGAAAAATGACTTAATGCAATACTGGAATTCTAAAGTGACAGATAATATGAAACGATGCAGTAATATTAGAAAAACAGTTTTGGAATTCTAAAATAACAGATAATATTGTGTTGACCGGTCAACACAGTAACATTAAAAACGAATAGTACTTTAACATCTCAATTATCTATTATCATCACACCTTATTTAGAGAGATGTAATATTTATTTCTAGTAATAAACCTTTAATTAATTCATCAAATCCCCGGCGATAAAATATTGCAAATCGCAGTTATCATACTCGCTAAATCAGCGAACCTCCTATTATCCTCCAAAATCTCCTGCGATCCATAGAGAAAATTACCATTCAATTTTCTATTGCAGGATTGAACTTGTTCCGCCGCCATCGAAGTGTACATTCTCACGGACGCCGGTTTTCCGTCGCGAATCGCTTTACTAGCATCGTTGAGTAGATTCGCGGCTTTTGTGTACTTGTTCAAGCACTTGTCGTACTTGGTTTTCAATTCTAAACTTTTGTATTTTAGGTTGTCGGAAATACGCCATATCTTCTTTGCCGTTTTCCTGGCGTGTGTCTGAGTAGCCTCTAGTACACTTGCCAGAGGCATAGGAAAGAGTGTGCTGCCTTTGAATTGGTACAGAGTGCTTCGGCAGAAATCTTGGCTCGCGTACGTCGTTTGGTAGCAGATTCTTGCGATGACGTCATCCGTTACGATTACGAAGAAGGGAGTCTTTATTACGGTTATAGGATCTTCATTGGAATCTGTAACAAGAGTAGTACTTTCATCTGATGAACTTGTTACTGCAAGAGATTTTGTGAGCAGTATAGTAAACAAGAATGAACTAACAAGAAAGGGCAACTTCATTTTGTTTTTTCGATTTTCGTTTCTTTTATTTTCTTGGAAACAAATTATGAATCATTTGAGCCTCTCCTAATGTTCTTAAATAGGGGAAATTAATTTGACATTTTTATGTAAATTAAATGTGGTTCTTATCTCATATATCCTTGTAAAATCTCAATAGATAAGCCCCATGATTAATAAAGTAAATTAAAACCAATTTATATTGTCAAAAAATGCATCAATATAATATATAGTAACCAAGAAAACAATAATCTTGAAACTTTTTTATATTGTTCTACGTAGCTTACACATAATTAAGATACATTTAATTATATATAACATCCCATGAATTATTATTTATTCGTAAAATAACAACTTAGGTTATTTAATTTCATCACACAAAGCTATTACGATACGGCAAAGCTCTAAGAACCTTCTAGAACCATCTGCAACGTTCGATGGAACATGTTGCCCGGCCAATTCTCGTTCGCATGATTGACCGGCAGACATTGCAAGAGTAGCGTTACTTCTTACGACATATCTCGCAACGCTAGTTTGCACGAAAACAACATTAGCCTTAGTGAGTCGACTCGAAGCAATACTGTACTTCTGCCAACATTTATGGAACCTCGATTTTAGCTCGGAGTTATTGGCTGAACTGTAAAGGTTCCAAATCTGTTTTCCAGTTGTCTTAGCCTGGTCAAGTGCAATCACATTAATACTTGTAACAGATTTTGGATAAAGCAATTTGCCATTAAATTGGTTGAGAATTGTTTCGCAGAAATTAGGGTTTCCTGTCTTAGGGCAAATCTTACCGATAAGCTGATCTGTTACAGAATTGTTTCTAGGTTTTATGGGTTTGGCTGAAGATTTTGCAACAAGTGTAATTATTATCAAAATCAAGAGATTTGAGCTGAGAAGAGAGAGCTTCTTCATTCTTTTAATTAATTATTTGCATTCTTGATTTTGTCTTAAACTCTTAATTTAAATAGTAATTTGTTACATGTCTTTGTTTAATCTTTGGCAAATCACATTGAATTGATTGACCAAAGTTTTAAAGACAAAATGGGATTAACTTTAGGTGGTGTTTGCAAATGATTATTTAAAATTCAGAAGTTAGTGATTGTGAGTTAAGTTTTAAGTGCTTATTTCTAAAAGTTTGAGGTGTTTGCAAATATTCCGGAAAATGAACTTAAATAAAAAACAGGGTTAGGGGTGCTTTTAAAAAAATAATTTAAAGCATATTATTTTAAGAGAAGCAAAAGTAAAAGTTGATTTTGCAAACACGTGAAAACAACTTATGAGCAAAAACAAGCTGATAATCACTTTAAAAAACTTTTGCAAACACCACCTTAATAATCATTTATAAAGTGATTTTTTTTATTTTTTTAAAGTCATTAATTCAATTAATTAATATAATAATAAAATCAAACCAGATCAGCCTAACTATGTTCATTTAGTAAAAGTCTATGCAAAACTACCAAACAGATTATATTTTTTATTGACAAAAAAATAAATTATTTTATATAAAAAAAAAATTTAATAAATACATGGAGTGTGTAGAAATGAAAATAAAACCTATTTTCGAGAAGAATCTTCTTGATCAGTAGAAGAAGATTGTCTGGCATAAGACAAGGTGCCACTGTGTGATTTGGGGTGGTAGGTTGAAATTTTCCGGCCCTTTTCATCGTACAAAATGCTGTCTTCGTCTTCATCAGGAACCCTACATTTTTCCCCTAATATTATCGTCTTCTTCCATATCGAATCCTCGTGGCTGAATTTCTTGTCCTTGTTCCGCGTCTTCTCCTGCCGCCCAGTCCCGCCGCCGCATCCGCCGCCGCCGAGTACCCTCATACTCATGCTGGACATCAGCTTCGAGGCGGCGGAGTTCGACCGCTGGTGGTGGCGGTGGCAGGAGGCGGTGGAGTTCGACCGGTGGTGGTGAATGCCCGGTGGTGGAGGCAGCGGTTGGTGCTGCTGATCGGTGGCTGTCGTAGGTGATTGATCGGCCGCGTCCGTCAATTGCCCCCCTGAGCTTTCGCCGGCGGCGGCGAACGGCGGTTGTGCGGCTGCGTCATTAGGTATTGTTGTGGCGTCCCCGCCGCCGGTGGTGGAGAAAGGTGAATTGTCATGATCTGGTCGGACTGCCGCATCGACCTGGTCCGGCGGCGGCGTTTTCTTGCGGGATAAAACGCCGCAGAGGAATGAAACTGCGCATGCATGAGATATATAAACTGGTTATTAATATATAATTCAGTTTTCTATATTATATTATATTATATAATAATTAAAAAATAATGAATTGTCTGGTTTGAACAACCTAAAGGAATCTTTCTACCCATGATAGAAGGGAGAAAAGAACAAGAAATTCCGGCCAGGATTGTAATATCTGTCGATCATCAACAAAATTTCATGAATTGATTTATTTTACAGAAAATAAATTAAAAATATTTTTTTAAGGATTGATTGTTTCTTTTTGTTTTGTTTAGGTTGCCGAAAGAGAATGCTTGAATTCAGGGCTGTGGGGAGAAAAGCTAAGGCCAAAAGGGTTTGGCACCTCTATTTTAGACATTTAATTTTGATGGTTAAAATTAGTTATTTGTTGAATAAAATGTTAGTTTTTCATTAATACATATGTTTATAAGTATTTAATAAAATATTGGGTGTCCTTTAGGTACAATTTAACTTGTCAATTGCGTCACTAGAATTATCATGAATTCATACGGATGAAAATGCATTAATTGGGTGTAACTCAGATTATGGTGTGTGTAGATAAACCATAAAATTGATTCGATATATGTACACTTCATTGGGTGTAACACAGATTTGACATTTGTGTGTGTAGATAAACGGTTGGCCTATCGAAAATCTGGAAATCTTTGTACATTGATGCAGGTGTTAAGCGTGTCTGATTAATTAAATAATTAGAATCTTACCATGATTAATTAAACTATGGGACCTTTGTGGGAAAAAAAATGGCTTTATTTATTTAATCTCCCAACAAAACAATTAATATTTTTTTTATCAGGTTTCATCTTATATTAGCAAATCTTATCTTAGTAACTAAACGAGGCATTAGGCCGCTATTAAAAGGCTACTCTAATCGGCCAATATTAGAAGAATATATAGTTGTGTTCAATTTGTTTATCAAATATATAAGCTGAAAACAAACAATCTTGATAGCTCCAATTATCACTGTACATTTATACACTCAAAACAAACGAACCAACGAAACGTTCAAACAAATAGCCTTTTAAGTTGAATCTAACGAATTACATGTTCATGAGCCGAAACAAGTCTTTTTTAATTTGTTAGCATTTTTTCCCCTTTTTTAAATGTCTATAAAAACTCAAGATTTAGCTTTTGAGGGCGACGACATTAATTGATGGAGCGTGGTTGTTTGGATAACCGCACTAGGATTAGAATCTCTTGTACGGGCCAGGCCCGTCTGCCTGAGCCCGAAGTTCCTCTCTGTACCATTTCTTGCAAATCTTCTCCATGGCCTTGGAAGGTGTCTAACCAGCCTTGTTGAAGTTACCAACAAAATCACACCAACAATAATACATAGCCTGCATTATCACAAAATACGATTCTTGATTAGCAACATGAATCCATGATTAATGCTTGGTTTAGTCCATTTATAACTTTTTCGGGCCCGGCCCACAAGTTTATCCTGGCAACCAAACGCGGCCTTAACAGACTAAAAAAACGTTGCCATAAGAGGAGGAAAAAAAATGGATACCATCCAAGAAGAAGCGTTAGTCGAGCCATGGGAGCTGAAGGCAATCTTTCACCCAATGCAAACATGCCAGCAAGTACACCTGTCACAATCGAAGCCACAGCTGCACACGTGGACACAACAATTGCCCTTCCATGCTTTAAACCACGGGTCTGCTTGGAAATTTTGGAAAAAAAAAACAATGAGTTATTACATTTTGTGTAGCTTTAACTAATATTAAGAAATACTATTAAAAAAATTATTTATTACCTGGTAAACAAATCCAGAACCACTACAGCAAATGCTGATTGAAACGCAAATGGGGAGTAATAGCTTAGAAAAACCCTGCTCCAAGAATACAAATCCCATCTTCGATATTACAGATGCCATCCTGCAAATTATATTACATGTGTTATTTTTATTTTTATTTTTTTTTTCTCCTTTATAAGAAGGCTCGATAGAAAAGCAGATAATGAATAATCCACATTAATACTTGTTCTTAGGTTAAATATATAACAGTACCCGAACAAAATGCCGGATTGTAAACCATAAATGATTTCTTCAACCACTTCATATTGCATCTGCAATGTCAAAGAGGCAAATAATTTAGATTAAGTTCATCAAGTTAATAGCATAATATCTCCAATTACGATTTTTTTAATATACCAACTCTTGTTCTCTTCTTTGGCGTCTATAAACACGAAGCCATCCATTAAGAAGTACCTACAATGAGCAAAAGTTTTACGGTTAAGACAACTCAAATTTGAATAGAAATGAACGTTCTCTCTTCAATTATCTTTTAATTCTTTACGTTGTAGAAAAAAATATAATCTTTAAGTAATAGTCGAATGAACCAATGTTCAAAAATATCATCAAAATCGGCATCAATTAGTAAACTAGAAGACACACAACGAAATAATGAAGTTTTGAATAGAAGACATTTTCATGACTATGATAAGATGTTGAATAAAGGTAAGATACCTACAAACAAGAAAGCAACGACAAATGCGAGCCACGGTAAATGAAAAACCGAGATGGAAGACGACTTTTGCTCTTCCCCTCCAGCACCTACACCTGGCAAAATACAATGCAACAAGTTAGCTAGTTAGCTAGTTCGATACAGCAAATATTTGAGCATAGAGAAGACTATTTTTGTGTTCGGGTATTTTCTCACATTATAGTCGGGAAACATCAAGAACCCTAATTAAGAAACAAACTGATCCAAAATCTTACTGCAAATGGAGGAATCTCAGTGTCTAACTTGCACTAGAAAGAACGTATATTACCTATAGTGCCGATACCGGCCAAAGCAATTCCTATCCAGTCAATAGCATTCATGATTTCCTTGAGATAAAAATGGGAAAAGACGGAAAGAATAGCAAGTCCGCAGCCAGAAACGGGTTGAATGACTGACACCTGCCAAAGATAAAAATCTTCGGATTAAGAAACTACCATAACTTATCAGAGTACAAAAATAGCAGACGAGGTTTGATGGAATTTACAGGGGCCTGAGAAAGTGCTAGCAACATCAAAACAGCTCCGAAAATATCCATCAAGAAGCCGAGTATCCAATCTCTGTTGGAAGCATATGCTTTTATCACCTGTCAATACAAATAACTTGTCATATCTATTCTTCTTATGTCGATTTGAATGACACACCCTTCAATATTACAAACAAAAAATGGGAAAATTTGAAGAAAATACAGACCAAAGGATAAAAGAAAAAAAAAAGGGATAGTCTCTCCGTATTTCGTGTTGTTAGAGAATTGAAACAAACTTAAACTATAGAGAATTTACAACCAATCGGGCATCAAAAGCGAAGGCTGAAACACTTTTTCTTGATATATCACAATAAAGATCATTTATCTATGAGGCTAGATCATTCACAAAGAATTTTCCTCATAATCAATAAAAATGTGTTATTCACAATCAGCTTCACAATTCAAAAGGATAAGCATTCTACTCTAAGAAGTCCATGAATAAAAATTCCCCAATCACAAAATAAATGGATAAAAAAACCTTGACCATTCTAATAGAAAAACCATCAAGAACAAAAATTGAATTAACCAGGTGAAAAGATGAATCTGCATCTGTTTATAGAAATACAGAGATAACTACATTCATTAACACAGAATAAATAAAGATCCAACCAAAAGAGTTACCCAAATCCAAAAGCCCAGAAATCATTTAACACATATGGCATCGAAAAACACATATCGGTAGAGTAATACACACACATATACATACACATGCATATACATACCTTGAGCTTCAAAGAGAGAGGTGGGAGAATGAGGGTGCCTTTCTTCTGGAGGACTTTTCCGATGTTATTTCCGGCGGTGGCCGCCACCGTTAAGCAAATCGATTCCCACATCGCTCCCCCTCCACCTCCCTTTTGCCTTTTTTTTTTCTTCTTTGCTAATTTCTTTCTTTATTGCTCTATCGATTGACGCATTCGATATAATCTTACAAAAAAATAAGTGAGATTGCGTGAATTTGTAATGTATATATATGAGCAACCTGCGAAGATCTCTGTCGATTATCACAGATCTCCGTCGAATTTCCGTCGATTAACCGATTGAATTCTTAGGGATTTTGTTGGGCTGTCGTTTTCTTGAAAATGTGAATTCTAAAATTTAGAGTATTTAATATTTGAAATCTAATTTTTTTTTTTTTATTATTATTATTATAAAAGCATCATTATTAAGAGTAATGGTTTTTAACCAATTGGGCATTATAGGCAATATAGCTGCATAAATATTTCCAAAGGTCAAACTTTGACATTTAATTAGCACATACTACAATTACATAGAGAGGGGCTAAAATGGTATTTTCTTAATAACAAAGTCTTACTACATTTATTTTAATAAAATGAAATTCGACTCGACCTCAAACTCAATTAAAAAAATATAGACTATCTACACAAAATTAGGACACATGATTTTAATATGTATTCGATTCGATTAAAGCTCGTTTAAACTTGTTTTGATTGCTTATCAAACCAAACTCAAACACAATCTAAAAAAACTCACGAAAATCGAACAAAAACTTGAACAAACATACATTCAATTCGCTCGACAGATTTACACTCTTGCACTAAAACCACTCCTTAAGAACAATATATAATTTATTAATTAATTTAATAATAATAAATAAATAAAAGAAGAAGAAGGCCCCTATGAGGTGATTGAATCACCACCGTCCATAAAGCACCTGAGAATAGGTGTCCTTAAGCCACCTAAAGCTCTTACGAAAAGACCCTTTTACCCTTCCCTGTACAGAGTACACTTTGTAACCAGCTACCCTCGTCTTCCTCTGAAACTCAGCATCATTCAAACTCCATGATTTTGAAATTGATGACCCATTATTATTGCTCCTCCCCTTCTTCAGCTTCTGGGGTGGCAACGGCGGCGGCGGTGGCTGCGCGGCGGCGTAGCGGTGTGCAGAGGTGGAAGAAGAAGAAGAAGTGTAGGAAACACTGTAAGACCTGAAATCATAAGGCTGTATTTGCATTTTCCCATCACTACATGACTTTGATCTGTAATCCGCCATGGATTTTCTTGGAGTTTCTTTTGATATGAGGTGCGGAAAAAAAGAGTTGGTGTTTATTTTATGTGTATTTTTTTGAGTTGTGTTTTGACAGGTAAGAGGAGAGGGAAAATTGGCTTTTATTCTTTTATTTTTGAACTTGTTTATTTTATTTTATTTTATTTATTATATTATTTAAAAAAAAAAAGGTAAGTTGTTAATAAAATTGAATTACTGGATTAACAGAATAATATATACAAAATTGAGGCAATTATTCATGAAACAATTGTAGTGGAGCATGTGCAAGTTGTCTTTGTATAAAGTGGCTATAATTGATGACAATTATGTGTAGTTATTCAAACTTTGAGTAATGACAATTTAAATAAAAACGAAAATTATTGAAAATAAAAGATGAGTTATATAGAATATTTATAAATATACTCCTACACTTTTAATATTTACACATTTCCCCGAAGTTTGCGTATCCCTGTTTTTGGAACATGCCGTTTACCCGTATCCGTTTCCTCGTATCGCCGTTTATGTTTCCGTGCTACGCAGCATACAACCGAATAAACATAAAGAAGACAGATTTTGGTAAAGATGTAATATGAAACTGATCATGTTCTGTGGCATTAGCAACTCCCAAAATCTGGCAAAACCCCACACCACAAAATTGACATAAATTCTTGTTTAATATTATTGATTGATTTCCAGCCTAATAATAATAATAATCAAAATAAAAATAAAAGTATGTGCGAATTGGGCCTCCATTCTTATGTTTTAAGCCTGTTTTAATTTAATTAATGCTTTAGCATTTTTATTTTTATCTATTGGACTAATTTATATTCATGGGCCTTCTTCGTTATTGATGGACCTTTCTCCTTTGTTTCATTACATTATGGGCTACTTTGTCATGATATCTATAATTTAGGCCCACGAAACTATTTAAAGGGAAAAAAAAAATACAATTTACGCTCGCGAAAGTTGTAAAGTATGTAATTGTTTGATATAAGTCAAATATAAATCTGAAATTCGAAAAAATACACGAGCCGAGATTGAGTCTATAGTGATAGGCCCGAAACGAGCTTGAGCCTATATAGTATGAGATTCTATGGTATCTGAGCTTGAGTCAACCCAAATTCAATTCATCAACTGAAATTATTCGACATTAGTATGTGACGTTGATATTTGTTGATTGATATTGATGTATGTAGATACCCACAATCACTAAAAAAAATTGAATGAATATTGTGGATGGGGCTGCAAGCACGTTAAAAAGGGGTTTGTGATGTTGGCAATCAAATGGCAAGGGTGCATCCACGTTTCATAGAATAACATTCCCCCAATTGCTCAAAGATGACAAGATAATTCAAGATAGATTTGACAAATATTCAACTTCACCAAAAAAAAAAAAGACAAAAATCATTTGACCAATCATACATGATATTATCTTCCTCACTCACTACCACAAGTTTCTTATCGAACAAACCAACTTGTGTAACGGGTGGAAACTCGAACGAAATTTCCTTTTTCTTTGGATTGAAATTGAAATTTAAATTTAAATATATAAGAGAATTAAAAAATTTATTCATTTTGAAATTATATATGTATGTATATCAAAATAATTCAACAAAAGAAATGAGAAAATAGAAAATTAAATTGATCCAAAGTCCAACCTTCTAGAAAAGGAAAATGATGCGAACACAAATGACACCTCATAGGAGGAATCCATCCACTACTTCCATAAAGGGTAAGTTTCTTTATTTATCCAATCACTTTTGTAGCCACATCATGTCATCATTTGTTTCACAAAACCCTATTACAAAGTACAATTATAGTAGCCCTAATCTAGTACATTAATCATATGACTAACCAATTATACTTAATTCCTTAATCACATCCATCATTGGCCGGCTAATTATGACACACATACATAGCTCCTACCTCGATCGCTTATATGCTACACTCGGTGAAAGTTACATCAGGCCGACTTTTACCGTTGATCTACACATATCAATGCAGGTGTGTGTGTATACGCGCGCACGCATGCTTATGAATAGTAAAGATCTATCAGATGTAGCATAGTATATATAAATCTAGCTAGCCCTAACTGCTTATCATGCACAACCTCGTTCAAAAGAGGTACATCATTTTCATATCTAGGGTTGTTAACTACTTCTTAATGTAGTAAAGTTTAATAAGTCTACTGTCTGAGTTTTTAAGTTCTCGATGTTCTGTAAAGTTGAATTTATCTCGAAAACGTCAAGTTTTTTGGCGTATTCTGAAAGATAAGTTATTGTAGTTGCTTCAATCCTTAACATAAAGCCATGGAGGTCGTTTCGAGCACTCGTGTCGCTAAATATTAGAGCTTTATTGCATTAATTATTAAGCACTCGTATTCGATCTAATTGTTAAAAAATGGTTCATATTATCAGTATTAGCAAAAACTCTTCAATTATTCGGCGAACTATCCTCTAAAAATTCATTTATAACACGAGAATTTTTTTAACAAATCGATATAAAGATAAATTTAAAAATATTAATTAGCCAAATATTAAACCACTCTTCACGAAAGAGCCTGCTACTTTAATTTGTACCAACGATTGTGAACATATATTCTTCTGTAGTTCACCATTATAATAATCATTTTAGTTAGTTGTTCATTAATAAATAATTAATATAAATTAATAAAAAGCATAGATACTTTATGCTGCTCTGAAGGCGCACAAGATGCCGACGCGTGGGTTTATACCACTCAAATCTCTGTCCACCTCCTATTGGTTGGTTATCCGCGTTGCTTTGAGCACTGCCTTTATTTTTATTTTTATTTTATTTTATTTTATAGTTTCTTTTCACAAACACGTGTTAGCAACTAAATGGGCGAATTTTACAAGAAAAATTAAATTTTGCTTAATGGATCTTATGTCCCTTGATCCATTATAGAAAATTGGTGGGCCCAATAGAATGGGCCCAACACAAATTTAGCTGAAACTCTCTATATTATATCATATGTTTTTAAACGTTTAAATAATTCATATATATATATATATTTTATGAGAATATAACATAAAAAAAGAAAAATGAATATAAAGTTGGAGCAAAAAGTCAAAACTGAATTATTGCAAGTTGTCATTCAATAATAATATATAAAAAAACAACTGAAGAAATACATGACTTCATCTTACAGAATATTGATTGATCAATTATTAAAACCCTACTGGTATATATTGAAATAAAATAAGTGAACAAATCCTAATAAAAGTAGAACACAAATATGTATATATTAATAAAGTGAGATCCCAAATTTATCCTCTGCAAATTAAAGAAGAGCATCACCCCCATCTCCATTGATCATGGATTGGTGAATTATATATATTTGAAGTATATATATATATATACATACATACATATATATAAATTTGTGCAACTTGTATGCATGAATGAACATATTCTTTCCAAGTCAATACCTTTTTCTCCTATTGGATGAATTATTGTTGAATCATTATATTCATATATTTATGATCTTACTTACTGGAAGTTTGTATATATATATATATATATATAATATGAGGGGCGGCCAATAGGACATAGACAACTTTGTGATCCTCAAATGAAGGAAGAATAAAAATGATATGAGTGGAAAACAACATTTGTGTTTTGTCACTAATATTTCATAATTATGTTTTTTTCTTTTTTCTGAGGATTTTATATATGGAGAAATGGTCTAGTTAGTTAATTAATTTGTGCATGTATTATATTACACGATTAGTTGACATGTATGAAAATCAATTACCAAAATGAAATCAATTATATTGCCAAAAATGAAAATTTATGATAATAATAAATAAATGGTGGTGGATAGAATTATTATATATGTAGAGAGAGTTCATCTGTGTGTAGGTCAGCTCCGATAAGAGGGATAGGCCTCCATTCCATTGGCTGGTAAAAAGAAATTTATTTAGAATAACAAGATGCATCGGTATGTGTAATTTTTTGCATGTCTGATGTCTAGTCTCATGTGATATAATTAATTTCAATATAATTATATTTAATTTAATTTAATTTAATTAATTAAATGTTTTTAATATTAGATATATAGATAGCAGCTTGT